TAATCCGCTGGAAGTTGCTGCGCTACCGTAGTCCTGGTCCGGATGGAAAAATGGCACCGTTTCATAAAACGAAAGCACCAAGATGGACCTCCTTGGAAATGTTCAATGTTCATCTCTGGGACCTGATTATTCAAGACCTTGGATGAGTTAAGGATTTCTTGATTCTATTATGGATTTAACAGGGAGCCAATAAAGAGACGTCTGTATCGGAGAAATATTATCGCTTGATGGTTCCTCTCAGTACTCTTACTCCTGGCCAAGGTAATACCATCCAGGATAAGAATCGGACACAAACATTTTTGGCCAAGAATAATGACTTAAGTTTTTTGTGAATTAAAAAAAATAACTTGCATTAAAAATTTATAAGTCATCCAGGTTTTTATGTTTTAACGACATACTGGGAGTTTAACTAATTGGTGTGTGTCGTCTGGGTTCATGGATAGATAAAGCTGCAAGTCGTCTGCATAGTAATAAAATATATGCCATGCCTTCTGATAACACTGCCAAAGGGAAGTGTTACGTCGATCCCGGTGAAGACCAGTGTGGAATTTAATTAGCCTTATGTATTTTAAAAAAGGAGAGAAAAAAAAAGACTTATTTGAGATCATTAGATCAATATCATTCAAAACAGTGAAGTATCTTTAAATACCTACAGCACAGAGCGGAGTCCACTCTGAGGCTATGAGATCATTTAAGCTTCACTATGGTGAGATCTACTGCCAGCTTGAAGGCCTGTGGTACGCACTGGATTAATATAAAGAGGTTGAGCATACGTAAGTTTGAAGCATTAATTAATAGTACGGCGTCTTTGAGCAGTCTCAAAGGAGTGGGGTCTAAAAGGCACGTCAATTGTTTGGAGGAAGTAATTGCTGAAGTAACTACTGAAGTTAACTCAAAGAGAAACCTACAGTTGTTATATTTATTTCAGTGATGAATAAGTAAGACTTTTGCAGTGTAGTAGCAGTTCAGGGTTGAAATGGCACATTAGCATGAGAGAGCAGATGTTTCTCTGCTAGACAAATGTACTGCGCTGTTGCATGAAGAATGATTTCCTGTCTTAGTGGCAGCGGGAAGTGAAACCACTTTCTTTAACACTTCAAGCACTCACTCTTCATTAAACAAGTGTTCAATTCAATTTTATTTATATAAAATTATATCAAATCATGTTTTTAATCTTGTATCATAATTTTTGGTTGAAATGATTAAATTACACCACCTCAGCTGATAAACACATTTAAAGTTCTCAGTTTAAGGAGCCAGGTGGAAACTATTACATGGCATGACCCATATACACCATTTGGTCTCATTGCTATAGAATAGCAGTGTCTAGTTCTTTTCAGAAAACACAATGTACAAGTATAGCAGTATTTCTACAAACTGGGTGTGTTCACAGAAATATGTTTCTGACTTTTTGCTTTGTAGTGCTGCAGATAAATTGTTTGGCCATTTCACGTCTTGAAATATTGTAAACCTTTATTT